AGAAATGATAAAAAATATTACTGTATAAATTATAGATCCTGCCAAAACCTTCTCAAAATAATTTCATCATATCCTTTTCTATGTTTTTAATATAGTTTTAATAGTTTCAGCTTTTGTCATATCGAATAGATTTTGTCGTATCTCTTATTATAATTTTAATATAGTTTTATCTAAGTTTCAATTATTATTAAGGGGTTTCATCTTTCATCTATAGTATAAATCTTTAAATTTAAAGAAATATAAAAAAATTAACTTCAAATTTCTAAAGAAAGTGAAATTTACAATATATATATTTTTATTATAATTAAATTTCATTAAGCTTTATTAAATATGAATTTAATTGTAGATTATTACTAATTAAATTATTTTTTAGTAACATATCCTTTATTTAATAGATAATATATTTATAATTAAGGTTGTTTGTCTAAATTCATTTTAGATCTGACAAAATATCTAAACTATAGTTTCGCATTTATATAAGCTTTAATATAGTTTTACCTTTTTCAGAATTTTGCAGATTTTTAATATAGTTTTAATATAATTTTGCTAAATTTTACCTTTTTCTATTTAGATAACTTGCAAAATCTTTAGATTTCATTTAGCAATCTTATTTATAATAAATTATAAAAATTATAAATTATTATATTGAAATATTTTTTAAAGTTCAAATTAACTGATAATAAAATAAAAGAGATATAAAATAATATAATATTTCAATTATTAATTATCTCTATTTATGAATTAATCAAATTTGTATTATATTGATAATTTTATAAATATTATACTATAAAAATTAAAATTTATTAAAATTATTATGAAAAGATAAAAAAATTACTAAAAATATAAAATAAATAGTTAAAATATTGATAAATTTTATATAATAATTTTAAGTGACTTATTATAAAATAATAAATTATATGATAAACTTACAAATTATTTTGTTAAGTATCATCAATAAAGTAAAAACCTTTTAAATTATTTTGTTAATTATTAATATTATAAATTAACTTAAGAATAATTTTTATTAATAATCAATATCATTAATCTACTTAATGATTATTTATGATAAATCAATATTGTAAACAATCACTAAATATCTTAATGATTATTTATGATAAATATCAATATCTTAAATCATTATCAATTATCTCAATAATTATTCTTATTAAAATTTTATAGTGTTTAATTACATTATATATCAGAGATAATTTTTGTTAATTATTTCAATTCGTTAATAATCAATTTTTTAACATGATAATTTGTGATAAAGTGATAATTATTGATGTTTATTTCCCTGATAATTTTACCAATATAATTCTAAAAAAAAATTATTAAAATAATTATTTTTAGATTGGGGTTTTTATTATCAATAACCATATGTTTTAGCTTCTTTAAATCAATTTATTTCAAATGTTGATCATGAGAATTGATGTAAATATGGAACTAACACAAATAATGCTAAAATAGTATATGTTATAGTAAATAGAGAAAGAAAACAATTAGAATTATTGTTAGCTATTTAAGGTTAGTTTTTATTCTTAAATTTAAAGTTACATATCATTAATTAGAAATAATTTTAAATTTATAAGAGGCAAAAGATATGATAAAAGATGTTATAATACAATTAAAGTTCATAATAAAAATGATATTCCTAATACCCATCAGGATAGAAGTGAAATCAAAAGAATGCAAACAGCTTTGACACACAAAATTAAGTAGGTAAAATGTATATTATTTAATAATGTGTAGAATCTAAAAATAACACTGATTCAAAAATCCACCAGAGAAAAAAGCAAAATCCGCCAAAAAGAAATAATCTAGAAGTTGTCATCTTATTAGAAAATGAATATAAGGAAAGAAATGATGAGTTACTTAAACTGGAAATTGAAGAAAGAAAAGCATTAAAAGAGCGTTCTATTAAAGCAAGAGTTGCTGAAGCAGAAGCACGAATATTAGAAGCTAAATCTGAAGAGTTCGAATTAGCAAATATTTAACAAAGAAAGAAATATAAAATGAATAAGTAGATTATACACAGATATTATTTTGTTTTTCATAAATTTAAAGTTCAAAAGAAATAAAGTTTTA